AGGCTCAGAGTTGAGGCCATGTGGAGGCAGCGGTCCCTGCAGCCCAGGAGCAGCCTCCCATGCCTGGGACCTGCCCAGGGTGCGCCTGTGAGAGCTCCTCTTAGGCCTTTCCTCCCTGGTTGCAGGGGGACACTGTGGGGTAGGGCTGGGAGTACCAGAGAGGCATTGATGCCGCGTGGGGGTAACTTTCTGTTGCGCATTTTTGGTAATTTTAGATCACTCACAGACTCCCTGATCTCTATCCTGTTTCTAACTGTGAGTATTAAGGGTTGTCTGGTGCAGCCAACAGCTCTTGTTTTGTTCAGTAGATTTGCATACTGTCAGGGAGTGATTTGTGCCTGCTTGTGTCTCTGTCTGCTGCCAGGCTGACAGAATCGGGCCTTTCTATGGTTGACTGGCACCTAGTAAAAGAGATGAAACCCCCGAGAACGCAGAAGGAGTGGGAAGCCGAGTTCCAGAAGTACCAGCAGTTCCCAGAGTTTAAAATGTGAGTGTTCAAAAGCAGAAGGAGGGTGGGCTGGGAGCACCCCTTCTGTGACTGAGCCACTCAAGGAACTCTTGTAAGAAGGGAAGTGTTTTTTAATATCACTAGCGAGGCACATGAAGCCTGTCTGATCGTGCACCTTCACTGTCACTTCCTTCCTCTGAGGAAGGTGATCCCTTGTTGTGGAAAGTACAGCATAGGACTACTGCATCACATGAAATCGTTCTTTTTTTTACTGTCTTTAACAGCCTGAATCATGACATGACGCTGACAGAGTTCAAGTTCATTTGGTACATGGAGTATTCGCACCGTATGTGGGGCCGTGTTGTGGGTTTGGCCTACATTCTGCCTGCTGCCTACTTCTGGCGAAAGGGCTGGCTCAGCCGCCCCATGAAGGGCTGTGTTCTTGCGCTCTGTGGGCTCGTCTGCTTCCAGGTGAGGGAACTCTATAGCCGCAGGGTTTAGCAGCAGCATCTCCTGTGAATGTGTTCTGATTGAGCATAGTTGAGACAGTGGGATTCATGAAAGCTTGGGGGGTATCAGTGCTGGTAGCTGGTTGAAGGTGGAGGAAACAAGTTGCTTTACCCCTAATGTTTACCTGGTCTCAGCAGTTGCTGCTGACTTGTCTGGCTCTAACCCCTCTCCTGTTGTGTCAGGGGCTGCTGGGATGGTACATGGTGAAGAGCGGGTTGGAAGAGAAACCAGACTCTTACGACATTCCTCGGGTCAGTCAGTACCGTCTTGCAGCACATCTCGGCTCCGCACTGGTTCTGTACTCTGCTAGCCTGTGGACGGGGCTGTCTTTGCTGCTTCCACGATACAAGGTACAAAGTGGTGTGTCAGGAGTCAAAAGCACAGGGTAGTTTAATTCAGAGGGTTGGGAGTGTGATGTGAAGGGTGATAGTGCTTCCAGTTTAATCTATGTTTCTGACTCTGGTGTAATACTGCGTTACAGAATACCCTTTCTGTAAACTTCTTGGTTATGGGACGCTTCCTTTGACTTGTGCTGTTCCCCTCAAAAGTGATTAGTCTCAGAGTTCATGCAAGCTGAGGCAGGGGTGTGCCTGGCCGGGCTAAATGGTTTATACCAGTAACCTACCCAGTGGCCACTTCAGTTTCTGCACAGGGTTGGACTCAATTAGTTGTGGTTTTGAGGAACCACTGAAGTGTGACTGTGCTATGTGGTAGTCTCTAGATTCCTTCTGTAAAATAGAAGCCAGCCCCTTGACTTATATATGCAGCGAAGACTTTTCTTACCTGCTGCAAACAGCATTGGAAATGCTTTGCATTGATTATTTTCTCTTTTTTTATTATTTTATTTTCTTTTACAGTTACCTGAAACCCATCAACTCCTTCGTTTGAGACAATATGCTCATGGCACTACAGCTCTCATTTTTCTTACTGCTCTTTCAGGTAAGACTTTTTCTTTACGCTGTTCCATCTGCACCTTGTTCCTCTCTGCTCTGTTTTGGTTTGGTTTGGTTTTCCTGGTCTGGTGAGGACTGTAAGCAACCCCATCACATTCTCTGGGAAAACTTTATTGCTGTCAGGGAGCTTACAGTCGAGAACCTCCCTTACTGGTCTTTCCTGAGCAGGTGGAGATCTGCCTTCCAGCCTGCCTGTTGCTGTGTCACCTCTGTATATGTTTCTAAAAGAAATTCAGGACCAAGCTGCCTGCTCTGATAGTCTGGTTTTCTGGTCTGGAATTGCAGGTGCCTTTGTGGCAGGGCTGGATGCTGGCCTTGTGTACAATTCCTTCCCCAAAATGGGGGAGCGCTGGATCCCAGATGATCTCCTTGCCTTCTCCCCAGTGCTGAGAAATATCTTTGAGAATCCTACAACTGTACAGTTTGATCATAGGATCTTGGTAAGTGCCGTCTTCCTGCTCCGTCTCTGCTGCTTCTCTGTTGCTTCCTGTAGCCAAGCCGTCCTCTTTGGGCCGTAGTTCTGTCAGCTTGAGTGATATCCAGGGTGTCCAAAGGTCCTGAGAGCATGTTACCAATTTGCTTCTGCCAAAAGAGGAAGTTTAGCACTCTTATTTATTTTCAGTGTGGTCCCCTTCCTTAAGGATGTCTTCCTCCCGTGCAAGTTACAGACTTTGTTTCTTTTCCATAACATGAGCTACAGACCAGGGTAGCCCTTGCTATTGAAATGTCTGGCAAAGTTGTGTGAAATAAAACTTGGAAATCCAAATATCAAATGCTTCCTCCAGCATTTCTGAACTTGCTTTACACCAGTAGTGCCCTGTGAAAATATCTCAGCTAGTTAGTGGAATCCAGATATTAAATACCACTGCTGGCCCTGCTGTGGACTAAGCCATCACTAAGACTAAATAGAAGGATTAAGTGACTTAGAGGAGGAATCACCTGGGGTGACCTGCACAGCAAGATTATGCTGGTGAGCTACAGCCGAGCGGTGAAAATAAGATCAGTTTTCCAGGCGACGGCTTCCACTTTTAGTTGTCAGGGTGACAGATGGGGAGAGGGCAGAAGTAATCCCTAATGACTTGAAGAAATGAGGAAAAGCTGTTGGAAAGTAAAGCATTGATTTGAAGAAAAATGGAACTCTCTATAACTTTGGTTAAATTTCAGGATTGTTAACCTGATGGGCATGGAAGCTCTGGGATTTTGTCATGGCAATTAGCACATTTCTGCAGTTAAATATTGCTTTTAAATGTTTCTTCTACTGCATGGAAGGTGCAGCCAAAGGTCACTGCACTCATTTCCTTTGAACTTTTCTTGAAGAGTGGTTGTTTCTCTTCCGTT